GTCCCGGGGAACGGGTCGAGACCTCTGGGGGGTCGACGTTATGGAGACATCACGACGTCGTGGGTCTGGGGTTCTACAGTCATCGGCCTGACCTAAGGAACGGTAAATAAGGAACGAAGCCCTTTTTTTCCAAGCAGTAACGCATAAGGAATGATCAACGGTACATAACGCATAAGGAACGATCAATAACGCATGCAAGCCTAAGGAACGACCGAGCCCCTTTTGGAAAGGAAGTGTTCCTTCCTCGAGCCGCTTACTGTAGGCGTTTCGGACGTTATGGAAACATCACGACGTCGTGGGAGGAGGAGGAGGAGGAGGAGGAGGAGGAGGAGGAGGAGGAGGAGGAGGGGGAGGGGGAGGAGGAGGAGGAGGAGGAGGATGAGGAGGAGGAGGAGGAGGAGGAGGAGGCGGAGGCTGGGGTTCCAGGCGTCTCAGAGAGGTGCATTTCGAGCCCATCGACCCGACTCGACGTCGATTCTGGCCGGCCCGACCCGAGCCGGTCTCCGACGTTCGGAGGAGCCGATGCAGCCCCCGAGGCTTGCGCGGCGTTGTTGCACACACAGCCGGGGCCCTGGAGAAGGAACCCTTTCGGGGCCTAAGAGACGGGGGTCAGTGCAAACGGAGGTCAGCCAGGGCGCCAGATCCTGCAGGATCCTGCGAAGACCCCCTCTGGCTGACCCGGGTTAGGGAGCCGCTCGTGGCCGCGAGGCGGCCGCACATATTGGCTGACCCGGGTTTGCGAAGACCTGCATTGCAGTTTTTTGTTCCTGCATTGCAGTTTTTGGTTTCCTGCTGACCCGGGTCTGGATTGACCCGGGTCAGAAGATCCCCGACCCTTCTCGTTGGGAAGGGGCTCCGCGTTCCTTAAGTTTTTCGCAGCTTGCCTCAGGTTTTCCTTTTGTTTTCGATCGGAGACCGTAGTTCAACTTCTGGAGAAGAGGGGCCTCGTTCCTTATTTAGGGTTCCTTAGGTCAGCGCCCCGACGGTACTGGCGCAGCCGATCCGATCTGGTTCTGACGCCGTGCCGCTGCAGCTCGAGCCGACGCACAGTTGGATTCGATCCGGTTTCCCGGTTCGAGGCTGCCCTATCCTGTGGAGGAGGACCAGGGGGAGCCCGAGAGTCCAGGCCTCCCAGATCTTGGCATCGCTCGGACGTGAGCATTTTTCCTTCGGCGAGGACCATCGAAGAGCATCCTTGATCAGTTGGTAAAAAACCACGCACGAAGCCGAACAAAAACACAGGGAACGGACGTCCGAGCGATGGCCAGTGTCCTGTGGAGGAGGACCAGGGGGAGCCCGAGCGTCCAGGCCTCCCAGATGGGGTCGGAGGAGTTCAGGAGGTCGGAGGATCGCGCGCATCGCCGATGCATCGGCAATGTTTCTCGATGTCAACTCGATTTGTGCCAAGCCGACGTCGCCGGTGCATCGCTGACGTCGCCGATGTATTGCCGATCCGTCGGTGATGTATCGGAGATGCGGCGCGATCATTCGACCCCATCTACTTCGACCCCACCTGGGAGGCCTCTAGATGTTAATGTAAGTGCATGTCTGTCCCCCACCCGACAGACTGAGGATGTCAGGCTTGAAGAAAAGGGGCCCCAGACTTCGAAGAAGGACGACTGCGTGCGCCGCCGCCAGGCCCAAAGTGGGCAAGTGTTCCCTGGGTATCCCTCCTCGCGTTCTTGGGTGGGGATCGTCCGAGAGGGAGCGGACCGAGGAGGATCTGGGAGGGGATGGCTCAAGGAGGGAAGGCTTGGCAGATGTCCTTTTCTGGGGCCTGCTGGGGCGCTGCCCTTGCCATGGCTGGACTGTCCTTGAGATTTTGACCAGAACGCACCTTTGGAAGTGTCGGGGGGGCTCGATTGCTGTAGGACTGGAGCGAGGAGGACGGAGGAGGAGGAGGAGGAGGAGGAGGAGGAGGAGGAGGAGGATACCCATCGGCTGTTGAAAGTCCATGTTCCAGGATTCCCATATTCCAGTCTTTCTTGCGTGTTTCAAGAGTCGAACGGTTTTGCCTCTTTCCTTCGTTTCATGGCGGCGGGCGGACGCCCAATCTACTTTTAGCACCTTCCCACTTCATGTTTCTGGCCACTTGTTCTAAGTCGGGCCTGTCTCTCTACAGGGGGAATATTCGAATATAGTCAGAAAATAATATGGGACTATTTTTTTAGTATGTTTGGGCATTTTGGGAGCACTTTTTGGGTATTTCTCATTTTTCACCCAAAATCCCCCTGTAGGGGGACACGCCCGACTTAACACTTGCTCCAACCGATGGGCAACGTTTTTAGACCCCTCTGCGCCTGTGCTTTGAGACTCTCGGTAGACTGGAGGCCCAGGCCAAGACTCAGGCCCAGACCCATAGTAACGGCGGCTGTTTTTTCCTACATCTTCGGTCTAGAGGCTAGGTTCTGGCCCCGTACCACTGCAAACTCGGGGGCGTCTCGGGCTGGACGAAAGGGGGGGATTGGGAAAGGGGGGGTTACCGAAATATGCTGCATGCAGCTGGTTTCGGCCCCACCGAGGGGCCCATTCCTCGATACATAGCCGCCTCCGGCGCCGGGAGGTGCCAGGAAAATCGGCTACGTGAGCTGATTCTCAGTCCCCACCTCTGCTATCCCCCCCTTTCGCCCGGCCCGAGCGACCAAGGGGGGGCGGGAGGACTAGGAGAGGACAGCATGGCCTGGGCCATAATACTCCAGATTTCGTAATAAAAGGGAGGGGGTCGAGACCCTCCAAGACAAGCCATTTCAGACCTCCCCCGTGGGAGAACCCTCCAAAACATCGTCCCCAGACCCCCCCATGCCCTCCAAGATAGCCTGGAAGAGACCCCCCCGAAATGAGACCCCCCTCCCTTGATCAAGAAATCTGGAGTACCTGCTCGGATACGCCCCTTGGCCCCAGCCTCGTCCGCGCATGTGCCTCCAGCCATGACTTGCGACCCCCCCCCCTCTCTTGGACGCCCCCGACGACCGAGACGGCAAACATGATCGGGCACGTGCCTGGGACGGGGTCGAGTGGCACGTGAGCATGGCGTCGGATGTCAGATGCTGTCCAGGGAGGGAGTCTTGACGTCAGTTGTGCTTTGCCGGCCCTCTCTGGGGGTTCTCCGTCGTCACAGCTGGACTCGCCTCGAGGTTCTGCTCGGCGCGCGATCCCGGACAAGTGAGGGAGTCGAAGTGGAGGAACCTTCACCTGGTCTCCAGGCGTCGCGAAAAAGAAACCGACGGGCGCTGTCTCCGAGTCTTTCTACCAGATCCCCAGGCGTTGTGAACAAAAGCGCTGCACGGGCTCTTAAGGGTCATGCGCCCAGAGGCTCGTGGGACACGGATGTGAGAACATCGTGAGCTCTCATCTCGCCGCGGGGTCTGCCTCACCAGGGTGGGGCACAGGCAGAGCACCAAGGAGCCAGAGAGGGGGAGGAGGAGAGGGGGAGGCGAGGGGAGGAGCTGGAGCAGCAGACGGAGACAAAGAGGGAGAGACTGGGGCGGCGGACCGGCGAAGCCAGACGAGGAGACGGGAAGAACGCATTGTGCCGTGCGAGAGGAGGCCAGTCTGCACTACAACGTCAGGGGCCTGCCCTGTCTCGCGAATAAGCGCAGCGTTGCTCACCCTCGAGATGAAAGCAGGTGCGATCCCCCAAATGGCGCGGAGGCGCTGGCAGTGGAAGCCATCCAACCACTTACGCCCAGAAACACTGAGCTACAAAGAGCACACACCATATGTCAGTTTATTGAGACGGGCGCGCTGGGCGTGTGTGGGGATCTCTGCATCAGACATCCTGGCGTCTCTTGTCGTCTTTGGGGGGGGAGGGGCATTTCGGCCCCCGGAATCATCAGATGCCTGCGGCGAAGTCAATTTGTGCCCGAGGATACGCGCAGAAGTCGTGAAGCCCATGTGTGGAAAAGTCAGAGTTTCGGAGGTTTGGGTATCACATCTATACATCTGTTTCCATATATAACTATTTACAGGACAGACGCAGAGATGCCAGCATTACCTGATCAGGTAAATCACCGCAGGGCTGTAAGTTGGCGTTGCCACCAAGGTCACAGGTCGCAGCCATCGTGAGATGACGGCCCCAGATCTCGGTGGTGATGGCGGCAGGTTCTCTGGCCCCCACATGCAAGGCACTTACATGTTACACCTTCATGACCAAGATCGTGGGTCAGCCCCCCTCGAGGGAGGCAACGCTCTACCTTGGTGTTGGTGTCAGCGTGTTGTTCGGCCTCCCAAAGCCTGGGCCCGCGGCCCAGGATCCTGGCATCGCTCGGACGTGTGTACTTTTTTTCTCGGCGAGAACCATCGAGGACCATCCTGGACCATCGAGCAAAAAAAACACGCACCATCGAGGACCATCCTGGACCATCGAGGACCATCGAGGGATCACTGCAGCGATGTGGGTCTTCTTGGCGAGGCCTGCAGGCAGCAGGCGCACATCTGGAGCCCAGCTTCGGCCTGGCCAGGGCACGTGTCCGTGTCGGTGTGGTGCATAGTTGGCATCCGTTTGCCTCGGAGGCCATCTTAGGGGAACGGGCTCGACATCTCGATTCGGGTTCCTCCTCTTGGGGGCCTCTTGGGCTCTCTTGGGGGCCTCTTGGGGCCCTCTTGGACCATTTCGTACCCTCGTGGGAGCCTCTTGGGCTGTCGTGGTGCGACCCTTGGGGCCGTCTCGACGTTCTTTCGAGCCGCCAGATTTCCGGCCCATTGGCCTCCCACGGTCCATATCGCTCCGATCGGTCGATTCGATATCGATTATTTCCAGCCGGATCTGGTTCGATGGCGAGGTTTCGACGGTCCGCCGCGGCCCGATGTTTGTGTGACGTTGTTGTGCATCTTGTCGCGACTGTTCCGATCCGATTTTGATCTCGTGCCGATGCAGCTGGATCCGATGCACATTCTGATTCGATCCGATGTACCCACTCGATGCTGACGGATCTTGCCTGCTCGTTCGTGCTGGATGCAGGGCACTCCCCAACGCGCGGCGGGCCTCCTCGGCGCAGGGCATGGCGGAGCAGTTGGATCCCCACAAGCCGCTGTGCGTTGTTGCGGGCAAGGATCGTTGCGTGCGGGGGTGGGACAGGGAATATACAGCGAGCACATCGAACAAGAAGTTGGCCTGCCAGCGTCTGCCCTGCGAAAGGTTCAGTATCAACCGATGGCCCCAGGGCTCCGAGAAAAGCTCCTGGGGCTTGTGAGGGCCTCCAGAGATCGATGAAGAATGTGCCCCCCAATGTTTCTCATAGCAAGGGTTACCATGGTGGGTGCATCTTGTATTGCGAAGGCCTTGCGGCCGATGCAGCCGACCCAGAAGGATGACGACGACGACGACGACCACGACGACAACGACAACGACAAGCTGATGACCTTGCCACAAGCTCGGGACATGGGGCGGGCGGTGGAGGGAGGAGGAGGAGGAGGCGGAGGAGGATGGGGAGGAGGAGGAGGAGAGGGAGGGGGAGGGGGAGGAGGAGGAGGAGGAGAAGAATGAGGAGGAGGAAGAGGTTGATTTCAGCCTTCGGGGGATGTCTCGCCCATCTCCCCCGGCTGAAGCACATGTGTCCTGGCGTTTCTTGCAAAAGGGGTCGGGATTTCCGGGGGGTCCGTAGCGAACAAAAATACGGTATCGAATGTAATTGCATAGTCCAGATTCCAGATTCCACAATAAGAGGGTGGTGGTCTGATTTGGAGGGGGTGGTCTGAGTGGAGCTGTCTTGAAGGGTTCCAGGAGAGTCTGGGCAACAGGCCGCCCTGTCATGGTTGGACTGGAGGGGGGTCTAAAACTGCTTGGCCCCTCCCTTTAGTGATGAAGTATTGAATAATTTGGAGAAGGGGGAGTGGGAGTGATGAGGGGAAGTGAAGACCAAAAGGAGGATGAGGATGAGGAGGAGGAGGAAGAGGAGGAGGAGGAGGAGGAGGAGGAGGAGAGGAGGAGGAGGAGGAGGAGGTGGAGGAAGCGGTGGAGGTCTGAGGTGGATGAGGAGGGAGAACGTGATGGATGTGGTAATGGCGTCAAGTGGCAGGGTCAGCAGGACACTTCCGTTGTCCGCGTGGACCGTTATCACACCCATCGCAGCACCAACGAGCAGCCAATTCAATATTTGGTCTGTTGTATGTGGCCTTCCTCTGTTGCGAGGCCCCGTTCGAGTGCAGCGCTCCCCATGTCATAAGCCCGCATCAGCGTATACTGAATGAACGTTGCCGAAAACAATCTAGCAGGGCTTGTTTTTGAACCTCACTCGAACGGTATGCATGGGCGAATCGGTTCAAGCATGGTGTTGTTCTAGAGAAGAAGATCGTGGATGCGGCGAATACGCCCGATGGGAAAGACAAACGGAGTCGTGTGAATGGAGGGAGATGTTGCTTGACACGATGTCGCAGCCGAATGGTGGAAACAGGACATCCAACTACAGGCCTCGGACAAAAAAACGAGCATTCATGCCACATTCATCTGTGAACGCTTCCCCCTCCCCCCAATGTTCAAAGTTGGCGCTAGTTCTGATGAGTTGCACCTCGACCGCAGTCTCCCCCGCGCGTGCCAACTTTGAGTTTGGGGGGCAGGGGGGGTGTTCACTAAATTATTTCCCTCTACCGGATGTTGCTCGACACGATGTCGCAGCCGAATGGTGGAAACAGGACATGCAATTATGGTTCTCGCCCACGCCAGTCGTGGCATGAGGCAGGAGACCTGCGAATGAATTGCCGGGATCCTCCAGTTGCATCATCAAGCTGGCGACGGCCCCTGCGGGGAGTCACCGCCGCCCCCTGTTTTTCCCTGGCATCGCTTGGACGTGCGCATTTTTTTCTCGGCGAGAAACATCGAGGACCATCCTGGACCATCGGGCCAAAACATCACGCACGAAACCGAAACATGCACGGGAAATGGACGGCCGAGCGACGGCGAGTTTCGGATGCGCCAGAGTCGTGAAGCACAAAACGAGAGTGTGGCTACGCTAGTGGGATGCGTGTTCCCCGAGCCGTTGGGGAAACCATTGGGGGAACACTGGGGAGAGGACCTTAGGCCGCCTCAATTAGACGACCTATTCTTGAAGCTTGGGCCGTCTGGAAGGTGTCCTGGTGCCTGCTTTGGCCATAATGACGCTCCTGTGGACCATCTTACCATCTTGGAGCGCTCCCGTAACGTCTGGCGCCTTCGGAAGCCGTCTTGGGGGCCGCCCTGGTGGGAAGCCTTGGGTCCATCATTGGTCCCTGCGTAGCCAATTTGGAGCTACCTTGGGCCGTTTTGGGGCCCGTTTGGGGGCATTTTGGAAGATATCGGGGCGACTTGCTCTTGGGGGGTGGGGGAACATGGGCCATATGGGGCCGCTGGAGGCCTCTTCGGAGGCATCGCGAGGGCCTCCAGGATGTCTGCGCCCGGGCTGGTCCGGGGTCAGTCCCGGCTGGGCTCCGGTCGACCAGAGCGCGGCCAGTCAAGCAGCGACGAAGCGCTCTGGATTGCCCAGAGGCCCACGCACCAAAGAATGTTCTAAGAGCCTCGTGGGGCTTGCGCAACATGCTCTCAGAACGGTTCTGGCTCCGACCGCCTTGTTTTGATATCCCCGCACTGTGTGCTAAGGACGTGTTTTTTTTGTCTTGAGGACGCTCTTCCTTCTGGACGCCCGAAATGGGTACTGAAAGAATGAGTACGATGCCCAACAGCAGTTCCTATTCATTTTGAACAGGACTCGCTGTCCGCGCCGCCGCGGCCTGTGTTCATTTGGGACAGAAGGCCGCCTGCCCAACAGCGGCCGCTGCTGGTTCGGGACAACATTTGTTGTTGGGCATGTTGCCCATTCTTTCGGTACCCATTTCGGGTGTCCAAATTGTGCGTCCCCAGAAGTCCCGACCCTTTCCCCGGGGCCAGTTTTTCATCCTGCTTCGTTCTTTGACGGCCCGAGGGCCCGGCGAGGGCCCCCAGGAGCCGAAAATAGCGAAAAATTGCCGTCCTGATTTTTTTCCGACGCGATCATGTCTGGGTTCCTGTTGTGCGAACACGTCTTGGTGGGCCCAGGGGAGTGCCTGGGCGGTCGGTCCCTGCTCAAGCATTGGGCAGAACGGTTCTGGCTCCGACCGCCTTGTTTTGATATCCCCGCATTGTGTGCTAAGGACGTGTGTGTGTGTGTGTTTTTGTTGTCTTGAGGGCGCTCTTCCTGTTGTGCGAACACGTCTAAGACGTCTAAGCCGCGATTTGTCCAACGCTACACCGATCATTCGGCGTTTAAGCGTTTATTTTTTTGAGTTACGTTTTGTCGTCAAAAGCTTCGCCAGTAGAATGACATCACTGACGTCTTGGTGGGCCCAGGGGAGTGCCTGGGCGGTCGGCCCCTGCTCAAGCCTTGGGCAGCAGGCGCGCGCGAGAGGCAGACCCGCGGAGGCTCCTTTTAAGGACCGGCCCTCGGCTCCGGAGGCTGCTCGAGGCCCCCGCGGGAGGTGGCAGCCGGCTGGCCAGCGCGGCAGCCTCGCAGAGTGCGGGCGCAGCAGCCCCAGACATGATCGCGTCGTAAAAAAATCAGGACAGAGGGTTTTCTGCCATTTTCGGCCTCGGGGGGCCCTCGCCGGGCCTCGGGACCGTCAAAAAACGACTCAGGACGAAAAACCGGCCCCGGGGAAAGGGTCGGGACTTCCGGGGACGCCGTCCTGAAAAAATCAGGACGTCGCATGTCAGCGGCGATCGGGGACGGAAAAGAGGGGGGTGATGACGGGGGGGGGGGGGGGTATCATGGCGGGGGGCCATGATTTTTCCCCAGATCTCATGGCGCCTCTTCTCATTTCAGTACGTCCCTGGCCCCCCCGCTGGGTCGCTCACATGCCGTCGGTCGTGATTTGCACCCCCCCCCTCTTGGACACCCCCCTCTTTGCCGCCCCCGAAGCGAGAGCCACAGCAACACCGAAGCGGACTCTTTCGGCAGGGCCCCTCGGGGGAGAAGCCACCGACCTCGACACGAGCACGCAGGTGGTGGTTGTGGCCGACGTGGCCGTCCTGGGACGCCACATCGACCACCGCCAGCACGAAGCTGGTTTCCGGGGTTTCAGAAGTACTTGGCATGCGCTTAGGACATCCCCCAGAGCGTGTCCGCGATGTGGTCCCCGCAGGAGTCTCCATCTGCGGCCGGGCGGGTCGCCGGAGGCCCCAGGCCTCCTTTTCGTCGTGACAAAACTCACGACGGGAATTGTCTCTCTCTCTTTTCTGCCCCTGAGGGCCCTTATGCCCAGCCTGGGGACTGTCGAAAAACGACCGGGGGTGAAACACCGGTCCTGGGTAAGTTGCCGAGAGGCTGGGGGCCCGTGTTTCGAGAAGATCGAGACGCGGGTTGTCTGGGTTTCTTGCCTCCCTGAAGCCTCCCTGAAGCCTTGCCTGCGTGCCCCACCTGCCCCGGAGGTGATCGTGGTCAACGCGTTGCGGCCCCCTCGCCTGTCTTGGGTCTTGGTCCGACCAGCCCTGGCAGTCCTGGCACCGGACTCTGATCGCCAGTGGGACCTCACGCGTCAGAAGCTTACGCCTCCTCGCCTCAGCCGCATATGCCGCAGGAGCCTGCCTGCGCTGTATGGCTTTCATGGACCCCTGACGTCGCGTTTTTTCCTCAACGTAGACCCCATAGGTCTGGACCCCTTCCCAAGGACTGGTTTCTCATCCCGAGCCGCTTTTGTCACGGCCCCGGGGTCCAGTGAGGGCCATGAGAGGCCGACAATCGCCACAAATTTCCAGTCGTGGTTTTCTTCGGCTATGCGTAAAAGTGACATTTCGTGGAGTGACCTTCGGTGCGGGCTCATTGGGGTCCCTCGATTGATCTCCACACGATAGTAGCAGCTTGTGCGCTTGGATTTTGCCCCCTTCGCAGCCCCCTCAAAGCCGCACCCCAAAGGTCATTCTTGCCCAGGGTCACCCGCGCGTGTAGCCGACTTCTCAACGATATTCGGAGGTCTGGGACCCTGTCGGACGGGGCTGGGACGAGGATTAATCCGTTCCAGAGCGTTCCAGAACGCTCTCAGAGCGTTCCGGAACACTCTGAGAAGGCCGCGGCGCCCCGAGAGGCGTCCTCTAGAGCCGCTGGATCTCAGAGATTCTCCAGTTGCCCCCACCCGAATTTGTCCTCGTCGTGGCTTCGTCTTGGTCGTCGCGCGGCAGCCCGGCGACGCAGCGCCGCCGTCGTCGTCGCCGTCGTCGTCGTCGTCGTCGACGTCGTCGTTGTCGTCGTCGTCGACGTCGTCGTCGTCGTCGTCGCCGTCGTCGCCGTCGTCGCCTTGCCTTCGAGGCCTCGGGCCGCGCGCTCCCCGCGAGGCGCCTCGTCGCCCCGCCGCGCGGCGGGCAGGGGGCCGGAGCTCTCCCCGCGGGGCGGCGGCGCCCCCCCGCGGCCGGCGCCGGCGGGCGCCAGGACAGCCTGGCGAGCATCGGCGGCCCGAGCCGGGGGAAGGCGGCGCCGCGGGGCGGCGGGCCCTCCTCCTCCTCCTCCTCCTCCTCCTCCTCCTCCTCCTCCTCCTCCTCCTCCTCCTCCTCCTCCTCCTCCTCTCGGGCCGGGCGAAAGGGGGGGAGTTGGAAAGGGGGAGTACGAAATCTGCTGCATGCAGTTGGTTTCGGCCTCACCGAGGGGCCGACCCAGATATGATCGCGTCGTAAAAAATCAGGACGGGAGGTTTTTTGCCGTTTTCGGCCTCGGGGGGCCCTCGCCGGGCCTCGGGGCGGTCAGAAAACGACTCAGGACGAAAAACTGGCCCCGGGGAAAGGGTCGGGACTTCCAGGGACGCCGCCCTGAAAAAATCAGGACGTCGCATGTCTTGGTCGGGCTGGGCGATTTCAAGGGGGGGATTGGGAAAGGGGAGCTACGAAATCTGCTGCATGCGGCTGGTTTCGGCCTCACCGAGGGGCCCATTCCTCGATGCGTGGCCGCTTCCGGCGCCGGGAGGCGCCGGGAAAATCAGCTTTCTCAACCCCCCCTTTGCTATCCCCCCCTTTCGCCCGACCCGAATCAAGCAGTGGCGAAGCGTCCTGGCTCGCCTACAGCCCTGCCAAACAAAATGCTCTTGGAACCTTTAGTGTGGCTTCCGCGGGATGTTCTTGGAACGTTTCTGGCGGGGACTGTCTTGGTTTGACACATCGGGCTCATGTTCTAAGAGCATTGGTTTTGTTGTTAGATCACTTGTTGGGTTCTGAGAACATCTCGTGGTACGGACTATAGGGATGCCGGCACGGTCGGTCCCTGCTCAACCTTCGCTCTGTTCGGCCTCTGGCGGGGGGGGGGGCCTTGCCGGGCCTCGGGGCCGTCAAGAGATGACCCGCGAGGGAGCACCGACCCCCCAGGGAACGCGTCGGGGCCTGAGGCCCCCGCACGGGCCCTGAGGAGGAAAACAAAAAACACGCCCGGAGGTTTTTCGCTCTTTTCGGCCTCTGTGGGGGCCCTTGCGGGGTCGACGACTGCAGGAAAGCATCATGACGTTGGGGGCCTGGAGAAGGGGCGGAGGAGGAGGCGGAGGAGGAGGAAAAGAGGAGAAAGCAGCAGGAGTTTCTACTCCTCTGGCTCGCGTCTCTGCTTCCCCTCCTCCCTCACCCCTATCCGTTCTCGCTTCCCCGTTCGCTGCCTTCTCCCAGACTTTCTCCACCCACCTCTCCTCCTCCTCTCCTTACATTCCCCTTTCCTCCCCCCTCCCTCCCCGGCCTCTTCCTCAACAGCAGACGTCCAGTGGATTGATTTCTTCCTGTCCGTGGGCCCCAGAGGCCTAGACTCCTACCCTAGGGCCAGGTTTCTCGTCCAGAGCGTCTTGCGATATAGCCAGGGAGAGCCCGAAAACGGCCTGGGAGTGAGAGACCAGATGATCGGATCTACCCCCTCTCTTGCTCGGCCTCGGCGCCATCTCTCCTTCCCTCTCTCTCTGTGTCTCTATTTCTCTCGCTATCTCTCGGTGTCCTTCTTTCTGGCGGCGCCTCCCAGCCGCACCCAGGCCAGCGCGAGCGGCTGGGTGGAGGCCATCTCGGCGGAGTTCCCCCCGCTCGGGCCTGAGGCAGGGGAAGAGGGAGAAAGAGAGAGGTAGAGTAAGATAACCAAATAAACACAGACACAAGCAGTATAGATCTATATACATATATATATATATATACAGACACATGCATACACACATTTACATGCCATAGGTTGTATATATAGGTATATATACATATCAAGCCATAAAACACATATATATACATCGGAAGCCTGTATGCATGTGTATATATATATACATATATATATATATATATGTATACTTGTAGTGCCCTTCGGTCCATCCCGCCCACGCGCCTGGGGTGTAGGTCAGAGGCCTCCTGGATGCCTGTGAGGACCTCTTGGGAGGCATCTCGGATGCCTCTTGGAAAACCGTTTTGGTGGCGTTGGGGGCCTCTTGGGGCATGATTTGGGCCTCTTGGGGGCCTCTTTGGGCCTCTCGAGCGCACCTCGGGGGCTCATGGGAGGATCTTGGAGCCATCCTGGGGCGGAAGGCTCGAAGTGTCAGTCCGTGTTTTCCACCTTGGGCCCCTCTTGGTGCCGTCGTGGGTGCCTCTTGGACTCCTCTTGGGGACTCTTGGGCCGTTTTGGGGCGATCTTGGGGTGCCGGGGGAGCTTCTTGGGATTGTCTTGGATGCTCTGAAGACCGAAAAAGCGGCAACACGCAAACCAGACACAAACCAATAGATTTTGACCATGTTGGCCTTTCGGGCCGCCCTCCAGGCCTCCGAGACGGCCAAAGAGGGCTCCAGGACGGTCCTTGGGGCCACCTGAACCCATGTTGGAGATGCATGTCCCGAACAACGCGCTCGTTGCCCCTCGACAAGTCATGCGGGGACCCCGCGAGAGTGCCCGGAACTTCGGGTTGTGGGCCCCTTGAAGGAAATTGTCTGACTTCGCTCATGGAACTCGAAGTTACCTTAGGACGCCGCTGTAACGCATGTTTCAGGGCACGGTGGCGGTTATATATACACGCATATCTACATATACACATATGTGTATATATATATACATATATATATATATATATATATATATATATACACAGGGCCGGGGGCCAGGGAAAAGCGGCACACGGTGCCCCCCCCCCAAAACGAATTTCGGCCTCCCCGAGCCTTTGGGGCGCTCCTGCAGAGAGCTTCGTGTCTGTCCTGCGAGTGCGACGCGAAAAAAAAAGCCCCCACGACGGCCAAAGAGGGCCCCGAGACACCCAAAGAACGGCCCAAGACGCCCAATCTGGGCCCAAGACTTCCCAAGACGCGTCCAAGACGCCCCCAGAGACCCCCAAGAGGCCTCCCAAGAGAGCCCCGAGAGGCTACAATTGTTGATTCTCCTGTGTGTTTTTCGATGTTTTTGGCCTTCTCGCTTTTCCCGCTTCCCGACGCTCCACAATGGCCCAAGAGGCTCCCTAGATCGCCCCAATACTGCCCAAGAGGCCCCCAAGAAGGCCCCAACACGGTCCAGGAGGGCTCCGAGACCGCCCAAGAGGCGCCCAAGACGGCCCAAGAGAGCACCAAGACGGCCCCAAGAGAGACCCAAGAGGGCGCCCAAAAATTCAAAAACTAAATTTTCCGCCGCGGGCCCCAAGAGGCCCGGTGAGAGAGCCCCATGAGGCCCCAAGAGGCTCCCAAGAGGCCCCAAGGAGCCCCCAAGAGGCCCCCAAGAGGCCCCACAAAGATCCCACGAACCCCAAAACACTTTCAAAACGCTTCAAAACTGCCTCCCAGAGGGCCCCGAGAGGCGCACCACGAGATCCCAACACGGCGGTCTCCCCCTCTCATTATCCCTTCTCTTTGTCGTCGCCTTCTTCGTCGTCGTCGTTATCGTATCCACTGGCGCAGCGAGGCCATTTTCCGTTCAAACCGCCGAAGGACCCAAGAGCTCCTCCTGAGCCTCCTCCTCTTCCTCATTCTCTTCCTCCTCTACCTCCTCCTCCTCCTCCTCGTCCTCCTCCTCCTCCTCCTCCTCCTCCTCCTCCTCCTCCTCCTCCTCCTCCTCCTCCTCCTCCTCCTCCTCCTCTTCATTCCCCGTGATGTTTCACGTTCCGCCCCGCCAAAGGTCTAGCAGAAGCTGCTCTCCTCACTCTCCCAAGTCTCTGCTGCGGATTTATTCCGCGACACCTCGGCTGCGCCCCAGATATCCACATAATCTGTCCTCTTCATCCTCTTCCTCCTCCTCCTCCTCCTCCTCCTCCTCCTCGTCCTTCTCCTCATCCTCTTCATGTTCCTCCTCCCGCCTCGACTGAGCTTCTCGCAACGCTCAATGCAAACCGTCGGGGCCACGACGCCATCTCATCCGGACGCGCTGTTGGGAACCAGGGTTTTTATGACATTTCGGAGATCAGGCCGTCGGGAACCTTCGGTTTCAGCGCACATCCTGGGGAAACACTCCCTGGGGGCTCACGGCCGCGCGAACGCTTGCAACGTCCTCCTCCGCCCCCCCCCCCCCCCCCCCCCCTCCTCCGCTTGACTCGCAGAGAGGCCGAGCGGCGCCGCGCCGCGCCGCCAGGGATGGGGAGAATGGACAAAAAAAGAAGCGGAGAAGGGGGGGGGGGGAAGAGGAGGAGGAGGAACAGGAGGAGGAGAAGGAGGGGGGGGAGGGGGAGGAGGAGGAATGGAAACATGGGGAAGGAGGAAGAAGAGATAACGGAAAGTAGTCTAATCAATTTCGCCAGAGATACGCTCGCAACTCCGACGTCAGAAGCGCTTTGCTTCGCATCGGTCCCGCCGTTTTCGCTTGAGACAGCATCGCAGCTCTGGGGCCCGAGACACTCTCAGTTGAGGTGTTCCAGCCACTTCCGCGTGCGACTTCTCGCGGCTCTAAGTTCAAGACCACTCCTCGCTCGAAACCTCCACGCGCGGCTGACTTCGGACGCGCCCTCCCCTGAGCGGAGGTGCTCGGGCCATTTTCACCCGGGACGTCCTCGCAACGCTGACCTCGGCGACGCACTGTCCCACGGTAGTCTGACCACGTTTGCCTGAGACCCTCGCGCTTTTTAATGGCGCGATGATGCGAGCAACTGGTCAGGCCACTACCGCCTGATATACGCATGTGTGTGCGCACACATAGTTGCACTGACCATTTGCATATACATGTACGCAGCCATACGAACGTGTATATATGTATATATAGATACATGTATATATGTACATATGGACTACGCATTCATAGACGCATGCGCGCGCGCATGTACGCCCGCCCGCACTCCGCTAGCGCGCGGAATCCAAAGGACCAAGGTGCATGGCGCGCAGCGCCAATGCAGTCTTGTATACATATATATATATATATATATATGTGCGCGTAAGGGCTTCGCCCCCATGCCGCCGGCCCCCCCTCTTCTAGAATGGGACTTGCCAGAGATGAGTTGGGATGTCTGGGCGCCGACGTGAAGCAATGCCAGGACTTCACGCGAGGGCCAATATTGATTTACCAAGGTTTATGGCTTCGGTGGCGCAAGTATTGTGTAATTTGCAATGGTTTATGGCTTCGGGGACGCGAATGTTGCGTAACTCGCGAGGATTGATGGCCTGGGGGACGCAACTACTGCGTAATTTACTAAGGTTTATGGCCTCGGGGGGGTAGCTTTTGAATCATTTATGAGGGTTCATGGATTCGGGGACGCGAACATTGCATGATTTGTAAAGGTTTGTGGCCTCGGGGGCGCAACGATAATGTAATTGACAATGGTTTACGGCACAGGGATCGCGAAATTGTTGTAATGATCTAAGGTGTATGGCTTCGGGGGGCGCGGAGATTCTGTAATTTACGTGGGTTTATGGCCTCGGGGTGCGCACATTGCATAATGTACGCGGGCTGATGGCTTCGATATTGCATAATGTACGAGGGATTATGGGTTCGGGACGCGAATTTCGCGAAAGTTACAATGGTTTATGGCTGGGGGGGACGCGAATCTGGCGTAATCTACTAGGGATTATGGTTTCGGGGACGCGAATATTATGTAAGCCCACCCAGAAACGACCCCAGTCCATTTGCAATGATGCAGGAACGCGCAGGAACAGTGAAGAGAGGTTGCCGCGAAACCGAAGCTATGGATGAGCCTGGTCAGACCAAGGAATTCACAAATGTGTACGCGGACGCTCCTATGGCCTTATTGGGCCCTTGCTGGAGTTCTCTGAGCATTGTCCACGCCATAATGAAACCCCAGGGGCACATCGGAGGCGAAGCACGCACCATCAAACAGACTAAGTACACGTACGCACAACATGTGCTTGGCTGTAACCACATTGCCCTCTTGGGGGGATGTTGCGGTAATGTGTAAACGTGTTGGACATGCACGACAAAGTGGCGACGTATCTTCAACAACGCTGACCCGACCTGCACGTTGCGCCATTGTTGAATGCCGCTGCGACGAGCCAACCAAACGATCTTTCTTGGGTTCGTACGGCCCAGGCAACGATCGAACACCAGTAAACCGACACTGGATTACGGTGGTTCCAACGCACGTCGGCACCGACGATTTGGATTTCGCCGTCGTCATCTCCATCATACGTTGCTATCTGTCTCATAGTACCGATGCGTGTTTGCCTGACCCGCCTGGTCTCCATCAGAATTGGATGGTTGTCCGCTCAGGTGGTCGTTCGTTCGTGGAGCTACATGTATCGTGCCATCTTGGAGACCGTCTTGGGCTACATGGGGCCCTGGCTGGTCAAACCCTTCAGCGCCGCCCTTCTAGACCCAGAGAAAGGCACACCAGTCGATGGGAGACCACGACGTTGGCGCGGGGTGGATCCCAAGACGGCCCACTATTCACCAAAGACGGCCCCAGACCTCCAGACGAGACGAGATGAGACGATATAGGTCTAGGCACGGCAATATGAGACAAATATTTAGATTTACATGTCATGACAGCCTTGAGGTCGGCCCCGAATGTTCTCAAGATGCAGCCAAGAGGGCTTCCAAATTTCCAAAACCTTCGAAAACCATTTAGGCACTCAATAGGTTATGCCGTTTCTATTGTTACTGGTATTTGGTAGCGGTGAGATCGATTGGGTCGATTGAGCGCGGGTTTTTTTTTTGCCTTCCTCAGAACGTCACTTTCGAGGGGCTGTTCAAGGCTTCTGGATGACTTCACGACATGGTGGTCCCGAGCTGTGGCCATGTGTTTTCACGGGCCCAGGCCATCAAAGGGGAGTATCTAACATGGTTGCCCCGAGCTGGAACCATATGGTTTCACGTGTCCAGACCGCCCAGGAGGGAATCTAACATGGTTGTCCCGAGCTGGAGCCACGCTACAAAGGGAGAAATCCGACATGTGGTCGTCTGGCTCCATGTCTGGGTGTCTCGAGCGAGAGGTGCGGAACTGCATCGGCTCTTGAGCTCGAGCTGGTCGAGCGCCCCGCGCGTTGCGATGGCAATTGGCCCGAGCTACGCGGCCAGACGGCTTGAGCGTAAGTTCCAAAGCAGTTCAGTCAGGATTATGATGTCAAGGACGGCTTGACCCACAGTGCAATAGCGCACGGCACTGCTCAACGTGGCATGCCCCCTGGCGCGCCTCCTGCCGCTTCCATGGGCCCGTTCTGTGGCGCGTCCCTGGCACGTCCTTGTGCGGCGCGGCACAGCGCAGATCAGCACAGCACAGCCCTCGGCAGAACACCATTACCATTGGTGTGTTCAGCATTGCCACTGTCCATCGCCCAATGGAGGCGCTTGGAAACGCTCCCATGCCTCGCAGTTCTAAGTCCCTTTCCGGGTTAGTAGGTCGATCATGTTCAGAAGCCGAGTGGTTGTACATGAGTTTGCCATACTGGTTTCCAGACCATTTGCAGGACGACCCCGCCCGAAACGTTCGCAGAAGGAGCGCCAGCTAATTGATAGATTCCCTGGCAACGCCGGGGAATGCACCAGTTTGCCAGGGTATACACCCTAGGCGATGCTTAAGAAAACTTAAGTTTTCGGCCAGAGTCTCGATTATTCTTAACTTTTGAATGTAAATCTCAAGATTTTGATAGAAGTTCTGGGTTTTATGCAATTTCTGAGACTATGAATTTCTTAACCCATGATTTCTTAAGCATTTCGCAGGATGTACACGAGTTCGCCAGGGAACGGATGAGAGCCCTCTGCGGGCGCGGGGTGTTGGGGGGGCCCCCTCTCCCCTGTGGGTGTGGGGTGGTGCTGCGGTGTCGCCGTCGTCGTCGTCGCCGTCGCCGTCGTCGCCCCCATCCCATCTGGATGGGGGCCTGTGGGGCCCTGTCAGGAAGACAGTTATCGGGTTGGGAGGAGGGGTTTGGGAAAAATGAGGATATTATTACCGGCATGCGGTCGAAGGTATCGTGCATTGCATCCGAATGCTATTGTTCATGCCCTTCATCCTCCCAACCCCTTCCTCCCAACACGATGGTTCATCTCCTCACCCTGGGGCCCATCCCATCTGGGAGGGAGGGAGGCAAACCCTCGACCCGGGACCACAGATATCCCCACCAAAGCGGGTGACTCGGCCAGTGGGGCCAAGGCCACGCCAGTGGGGATTGGAATCGGACAAGCGATGCTCGCCTGCCGGTGGACGCACGCCGCCAAGGCCACGCCAGTGGGGATCGGAATCGGACACGCGATGCTCACCTGCCAGGGGGCGCGCGCCGCCATGACCACCGCCTGGCGGGATCGCTCGTCGGAGACCTCGGCGGGCGGTGGATAGGGACGCCTTTAGGCCCCCCCTGCACCAAATCGTACCCAAGGCCCACCGCCCACTGGGGGTCCCAGGACGTCGGTTCCCCAGGCCGTGGCTATGGATCAGACATCCCCGCCTCGCACGCGGTCGTACACCCGGGGGGATCGCGCGGGGCGCGCAGCCCCGCGCCGCAGGTTCCCAGACCTCAAGAAGGCGGAGGGCGGCAAGAAGGCCGAGGGGGACCAGGCGCGGAGCCAGGGGCGGCGGGGGGGCCCCCTCGGAAGGCGGGCCGTGGGGTGGGCAGCTCTGCGAGCTCCACGGGGCGCCCCCCTCCTGCCGCCGCCCTCCGGCCCCGTGCCTTCTCCCTGCCTCCCCCCTCCTCCGGGTCCTTGCCTCCCCCCCTCACGCGCCAGGCCCAGGGCTCCCTGATCCGCGGCGGCGCGCGCAGGACCATGGGCCACTCGCGGGTGCCCAGAGATCCCGCGCGCGCCCCCCCGCGCTGGGCCGCCCGGCGCCGCGGAGCTGCCGCGCGGGCGGCGCGCGAGCGCGGCGCGCGAGCGCGGCGCGCGAGCGCGGAGCGCGAGCGCGCCACGCGCGGCACGCGGGTGGGGACAACCACGCGCCACCAGCCCGAGAGCCCCAACTTGGCATCGCTCGGACGTGTGCATGTTTCCCTCCGGCGAGGACCCTCGAGGAGCATCCTCGATCACTTGGCGAAGAAGCCACGCACGAGACCGAAACATGCACGGGCATTGGACGTCCGAGCGATGGCAAGCCAGCGCAGGGGCCGGGGGGAGACGGGCCACACGTCACCGCCCGAGGGCCACGGCGCAGGGCCCCGGGGGAGACGGCGGCGCGGGCGCGAGGTCGCGGAGGACCTCCTGAAGTTCCCGGAGAGCGCGGTGGACGGCGCGCCCGGCCGCCCAGCCGCGGCGGCCCGGCGTCGAGGACGAGGACGACGACGACGACGACGACGATGGCGGCGACGACGACGACGACGACGACGAAGACGGGGACGACGACGACGACGGGGACGACGACGACGACGAGGAGTCGAGGAGGAGGACGCCGACGACGACGACGAGGAGGAGGACGCGACGACGACGACGATCACTACGACGACGTAGAGAGGAAGACGAAGACGGAGGGGAGGGGAGGGGGAGTCGGAGGAGGAGGAGGGGGAGCCGAAGAGGTGGCTGGAGGAGGCGGGGCGGATGAGTGTTTTTCATTGGGTGAACCCGTCACGTCCGTGACGGGGGATTCCCCCCCCCTCCGGAAGGGTAACGAACGTGCGCGCGGGTGGTGCTGGCTCCCCCCCCAGGCATGGCGCTGTGCCCGCAGGCGTGCTGTGGTACTGACAGTCTGGCACGCGTGGTGTGGTGCTCACAAGCATGCTGTGGCGCTTGCAAACATCGGGCAATGCCAGGAACTCGGAGGGCGAAAAGGTACCCATACCTCTACCCTTCCCTCGTTTTCCCCTTTTTGGGCCTCCTTGGAGGCCCTCGTCGCCACCGCTGGATTCGCCTCGAAATCCTGGTCAGAACGCACCCTGGGAGAGATCCGGGAAGTAGCTGTATCGGTACCTTTTGGTCTTCCCAGGAACGCCGGGAAAGAGGTGTTGCCGGGGCTGCTCCTGCTGCTCCTGCTGCCGCTCTGGTGCCCTTCCTGCTCTTCCTCTGGTGCTCCTCCTCCTCCTCTTCTCCTCCTCCTTTGGAGCCTTCGAAGTCTCTGGAGGCTCCGGACCCGGTCCCCTCGACGAAAGCATCGCTCGGGCCGAGCCTGAAAGATACCGTCAGAAGAACGACCCCGCCCCAGCAAAAAAGGAACAGGACAGGCCCGCCCACGCAACCACGAAGATACCAGAAATCCTCATCCACGTACAATACCAGGGTCAAGAACGGGACACGATATCAGAGACGGACCCTTCCAATGTTTTTGATATGCACCATTTTACTGCCACGAGGCCGACGTAGGAGGGGCATCCCGTAGCCACACATCAAGAACCAGCCACGCCACAAGACAGAGACCGTAAGGAATTTGACAAACAGCCCAAACTATTGAAACACTATACAAGAAAAAAGACCACAGCCTCATATCCTCAGGCGGTGTGCTACTAGGGCCCGAGGGCCCCTGGCACGCTGACCGCCTGAGAGGGCAGATACCACCAGCAGTCGCCCACCACCGTAGCTGAGAGCCTTGACGATGGACTGCGCTGGCTTCGCCTTCACCATGACGGCTTGTCCACAAAAACAGGGAACGCGGACAGGCCGATGACCGCCGCCCCAAGTGTCCCAATACTCGCGAGGATGACGGAAGCCGAACAAGTCACGCCCCTCTCCCCCAGCAGCCCAATGCCAGCGCAGAGGTGGGGGCGCTTTTGGTCATGGCCGTGAGAGTGCCTTCGCGTGCCCGTGAACCCAGCAGCGCGGAGGTGCAGCTCCGTGGGCTAAGGAGACAGACGTAGTGTATGGAACACCGGGGGCGCGGCCGCTCGGCACTCGACCCCCCACCCAAGGCCCCAGGGGAGGGGAAACCCCGGGCCATGGCTCCTTGAGCCAACACTGGAGTCAATATCTTGAGCCAACGGCTACGGATCTCCGCCTCCTCCTCCTCCTCCTCCTCCTCCTCCTCCTCCTCTGGTGCTCTTCTTGCTGGTCCTCCTGCTGCTCCTCCTGCCGCTTATCTTGCTATTGTTCCTCCTCTTGCGATTGTTCCTGGCTGTTGCTCCTCCTGCTGCTCGTGCTGCCGCTCCTCCGGCCTCTCCTGCTGCTCCTCCTGCTCTTCTGGCTGCTCCTCCTCGTGGTCGTCTTGATGAACCGTTTGCTGCTCCTCCTGCTGCTCCTCCTGCTGCTGTTATTGCTGTGCTCACGGGCGTGCTGTGGTTAAGGGAAACACGCTCTCATGTTCACAAACATGTTGTGGCGCAACAGTACACCGCAGCCTACGGCGCAACCTGTGGCGCAATCTATGGCGTGCCCTGGGGGCGCAACCACATGGCGCAACCCATGGCGCAACCGATTGGCGCAACCTGTGAGCGAAGCAGCGTCTTGTGCCTTAGCATGTTGTGCCTTCAGAGTGCAGCAACTCGCTCTCTGGGGTGCTGAGATGGCAAACGTAAGCTAATAATGGTGGCGCGCGCATTACCGCGGCCACTACCGCCCAGTGACCAGGCGCTTACATATCCGCTGCCCCGGGCCAGGCCCGTGCTGGGCCGAGGGCGGTGTATATGGGCCCCTGTGGCTGAGCCAGGAGGGTGCGCGCACCAGTCCTGGACACAAAGCGGGTTGGCCAGAGGCAGTGGATTTGTGCAGGCTTCGTCGCCCCACGCTGCTGCCATTGCCATTCCCTCCGCCGCCGCATTTAGAATAGGGCCACGTGTCCTCCGCAGGCTGACGCCGCCCCGCAGGCCTCCAGAACAAGACACCGGGCGGCCACTCAACACGCTGCGTGGCTGTCGCGTCGCAACCGCATTGCCGTGTTCGCAGACTCGCAATGCCCGCATTGTGTTGTTCGGTGGCGTATTGTGGTGCTCGCAAGAATTTCAACGGCTCGTACGACGACGACGACGACGACGACGACGACGACGACGACGACGACTACTACGTACTACTACTACTACTACTACTACTACTACTACTACTACTACTACTACTAGTACTACTACTACTACTACTACTACTACTACTACTACTACTACTACTACGACTACTACGACTACTACTACTACTACTACTACTACTACTACTACTACTACTACTACTACTACTACTACTACTACTACTACTACTACGACTAATACGATTACTGCGACTACTACTACTACTACTACTACTACTACTACTACGACTACGACTACGACTACGACTACGACTACTGCTACTACTACTACTACTACTACTACTACTACTA